GGGTGCTTGGGCTGTGGCTGTGCGGCGCCAGCCGCTGCTGGGCCCGGGAAGAACACGGTTTAATGGGATTCAAGGGCCTCATCAAGAGAGAACTGATTGGGTACCACTAAGATATACACAGAATTAAGTCATCAATCGCAGTAATTTTTTTAAGCTGTACATCCTATCAAAGTTGGGTAGGATTCAAGCAAGAAGCAGGCCTCTTCTCCTCTTGAATCAGGCATAAGTAACAACTCTGCACAGTGCAAAGCAGTTCCCCTTGATCAATGAAATATTCTGCTAAGAAGTGAAAAATCACTAAAGTGCCTCAGATGGAGCCTTAATTTTAAAATCAGTCTAATTAAACAGAGTGGTGAGAGGAAATGGTAGAGATGGCAAAGAAAGCAGGGTCTTACTCCTTACTTCATCTTTAGCACTTGACTTCCTTATCAAAGCTGTTTGTACATCTTTTCAAAACAGGACTTCCTTTTACTTCCAGAAGACGAACTATGCACTTGCACTTATGTTTTTAATATTATACTAATTACCATGGGTATAATTTTAAAGATTGTATCTAGATATCAGAAGATAATACAGTTGCACTTAAATTTGTCAGCTGTGCAATAGCTTGCCCTAATTTTAGATTATCAGCTCTGGAGACCTGCTCAAAGAGTAAGACTGACAGACTTTTTAATGGAGAAAATCTGAGTTCCCCTGGGATCCATACTTTTTTCTGATTTAGTAAGAAATCCCAGCGGCATTTGCTGAAAGGATCCCAGGATGGAAAATGACATCTCTCTAAGAATTAGTGCTTCACATTCTGATGCAAGTCCTCCAAATATACTCTCCCTCCACAGACATACGTGCTACCTCTTCAGGTTTTTTAGCACCAGGAGAGCAAAATGGCTACTTTGAAAGCTCCGGTCCAGTACTGTGTGCCAAACTGGAATGAAGGAGCATGAATCTATATAAATAGATGAATTATCCACCCAAAACATGGCATTTAAAATTGAGATGCTGACACAGCCTTAGCCACGGTACTGCTAAGCAGGGGCTGCAGCATTTTTCAATTAAATATCCTTGTTTCTTCTTCCAGAGAAACCTCTGGAGAAATGTCTCATTTGAGGGCAGACATAGACAGAAAGTGACTGTCTGTCGGCTCCCAATTAAAGGCTAGGGAAGATGTATTGGAGGCACAGCCATCACCTAATAGAGATCAGATATCAACAATGATTTACACAGCCAGACAGATACATATTCAAGTGGGGGAAAAATAATACTAGCAGCCTAGGAGACATGACTTTTCCTGCTCTGTCACCACTCACTATTCATCTGCTCCTCAGCTTCCCAGGTCCTGCTCCTTCCTGCGCTCTCCCGCTTCACTGTGGTCATGCTTGAACCGACTCGTCTCTCAGCCACCTCGATCCGTCACACACCTTTCATCACACTGATCTGCCATTTTTTATTCAAAGGCACTGGTCTATCTTTCCAGATTCCAGGTCTTATTTATTCCAGTAGAAATACGTACCTGCCTTGCATTACTTCTACGTCTTGCGGATCTCTTATTTCCCAGGCACACTGAAGGATAAGTGTGGGTTTACCCTCAAAATCCCAAATGAAGCAAAATTGTTTCCTTTCCATTTTCCGAACACCAAGTACAGAATTCATCTGCAGCAATATACCATATATTCTGTATATTTCAGGATATCAAAATCTGCAAGATAGTCCTGAAGAAAAGTAGATCTCCTCTTTCCAGAAACATTTCAGGCAAAGAGGTTTCTGGTGGGAGGAGAATAACTCCACAATCCTCAAAACACACTGACCTAGGACCAACCAAGAGCAATCTGACAATTCGCTACTAGAACCGCTCCACAGTTGGAGGCTAATACCCTCATCATGACATAAGACATTTGGGTCAAGGATCTTAAAACTTCTAATCCTGCTGAGTACCCTCAGCTCCTATGGTTATTAATGGAAACTGAGGATGCTGAGCACTATTTACGAAACGATCAACCTCTTGCACAGAGGTCTGGCACCCTCGCTTCTCCCAACACGTGTTGCTCATAGGAATTTTTGGTCCTGAAAATGTTATTTTATTTAAAGCAGGAATTCAAAAATCTTCTGGGTCCTATTGAAAGAGATCTAAAAGATCCTGCCTGTCTGAAGAAAAGAAGTTTCTACTTGTCAGTTAAACAAAGGAATAACGCACAGCCTCCTTTATAGTGTGTACTTTACCTGTCATCCAACAGCCCATTATCATGTCACGGCAGAGTGCACTTTTCTACAGGTCACTTTGTTTAAAATGACATGGATAATGCACATGTCAGCGAGCTGACAGTCCCGACCGTCCTTCAGAGATAAAAACCGCAAGACGAGCGCCTGTTCTTATCTGGGGTACATGCCTTGGTCTATCATCTAAGTCAGGCAGAACATGATTTCTCCAGAGAGCACTTTTTTCATTTCCTGATTTTAAGAAAATCAAATAAGCACCATTTGTCTTCATCTGAATATGCTTGACCTGCTCAAATGATGATGTCTCGCATTTTATAACAGGCTACATATGCTGAATTCAAATTAACAGCAGAACAAGGCCTTTAGATCTTTGCCTAAGCTGCCAGCACAGGCTGAATAAATACACCAGGGTTAGCTGTTGTCTTTTAGAATTGGGCCAGAGCTATAAAACTCAAAGCTGGGTCTGGTTCTGGGATTTGAAAAGCACTAAGTTATCAGGGATATTTGGATCTGCACTTAATCTCATTTCATTAGGGGGGAAGACAAAATATAGATCGCAGAGATGAAATACACATCTGGATTTTAAATCCTTCCCACACAAGTACTGGGATATTCTGTATGAGGTACAATCTCGAGTCTCTCTTGTATTGTGCCGCAGAAACTATCCTGAACCAGCACACCACCACCATCCCAAAAAGCTGCCTCTCGGCCTTTTTGTATAGGAGCGCTGTAAGGGAAAAATACTGTGAAACCGGCAGAGGTTTGGCTCCCGAAATGTAGCAGTGGCAGGAAATCACACTTCTAGTTCTGGGTGCCATAAACATAGGAGCTGAAATTCAGTTTATCATCTTCCACTGCATAAGGAACATCCTGAAAATGAATAATCACTTCAGAGGATGGAATGTAATGGTAATGCATTAAAAATTCATATCTAGAAGTGCAGGTTAATATTCTGTGCAAAAACCCAACAAAACCTCCCCTTTCTGTTGTCACACTGATTAACTCCAGTGATTAGTTCCCTTATGAAAGGGAAATCACTGCAGTTCAAAGTAAACAGTGGTGGTTTAACGTAGTTAGCAAATTATTAAGAAACATGAGGAAAAAAATCTCTACTTGGGAAATTACTGAAAAAGCTGAAGGGCAAAGCTTTGGTGGTTTCATACAGAGCGGTTTGAAAATTTCCTTAGCTTCCTGCTACAAAATCCTGTAGAAAACCGATTAAATTCATGAAAGGTGGATTTTACAACTTATTTTTTCTTTTCTGTTGTATAAGATGCATACCAGCATGGTCATCTCTCTTCTTCTTGGCTTGACTTGGAGCTAGTTAACAGAACCACTCACGAAACTCTAAACAATTCAATGTTATTATATGAACGACATTTTCTGGCATTATTTTACCCTCCCCCAACTTCCAGCCCCCAATTTATCCAGCGAAAGAAGAGGCGAAAGTGATTACATTATCAAAACATCCCTTAAGGCTCAACGTACAAATGAAAATCACAAAATCCAACCTGGAAATAAAGAAATTAGACCAGTGTTTATGCAATGAGTATTTCATTTTTGCCAAAGAAGAAAGGTAGATGTTAGTCTGCTCACAACATAAAATAAGACATAAAAATGTGCATCAGTGTGAATACTAGTTCTTCATTACTATTAGCCTTCTAAACAATAAACAGCGTTAGAGATCAGTGCCTTACACTTTTTCAGCATGACATTCTTCCCTTTTTCCACTTAGAAACCCAGTTACTGAGATTATTGTCAGCAAGTTGTGTCACTTGACTTAATGTACAGTTTCCAAATGTTGTTTCTAAAAATCCAGATATATATATATCAACCATAACACTTCAATTTGAGTTTGAAGACCCTTGCCTGCAGAGAGGCAAAACAGGTGATAACAGGGGTTAAATAACTGTCAAAAAGTGCAAATGCAAGGGTTACAAACATATTTGGTTGCTGTTAGAACTTCCCAAGGGAAAATGTAGCCACAGAAAGGGTTGGTATTGAGACTGGTGTTCATAAACAACCCACACAAACCGTGGCATCAATATGCTTGAAGAGGAATTGTATAGCCTCCAAAATATTCATTACAATTCTCTTTCCTAGGAGGTCTATTCCAAAATTAAATTAAAGGAAACAAAGTATTTTCTTTGTATAGAGATTCTTTAGATCAATCCAAAAAGCAACTCTGAATAAATAACAGAATAATAGCAATAAGTGAATCCCACAAATCCAACAAATTATTTTTGCTCCCATACTGATTCCTTTTCTTACCTTTTCTTCTTGATCACTGTCGCTGTCACACTGAAACACAAAAAGGAGAAAAGAACAGGTAAGAGAAACTTGCTACAGCAAAAAATTGAAAGATTTCTATGAACAAGATGGCTGAAACACTCATAAACCCTGTGGCATCAAGTCTGGTACCTTTAGGAAAAAGCTCAATTACTGTACAGGAGGGAACGTTCCCCCACACTGTTGTTGAAGACAATACATTTATATGTTTAAATTATGACAAAAATTGCACTGACAACAACAAAAGCCATTTGCAATGCCCTCCGTTAGTTGAATTCACGTGGACAGGACCTGATGGTGCATGAGCACATTTAGACTCCAAAACTGTATCGGGAAAGAAGAAAAACAGGATTAGAGGGCTGCTTTGTTTACTACTGATGGACAGTATTCCTCATACTGCCTGCCAATAAATTGGCTTCAAAGGCTTCTCAGATAGGAGGGTATGGAAATGGCTTAGGTTTGCCTGTCTAGAAGAGAGGCATCTACAAGGCTACCATTTTACTCCAGGACCACTTGGAGAGTTCAATCTATGTCTTTGCTTACCGCTGCTGTACGAAAGAACTCAGAAATCAGAGCGGAAGCAAGAACATGCGAAATTAATTGATTCATTGAGGTTCTCTATAATTCAAGAGCAGCCCAGGTATCACAGCAAACACTTATAATGCTATAAAACGCTGAACAGTAACACTAGTGGGTCTTGCTATTTATCAAGTGCCACTGCTCCATTTTTTAATAACTTTTACTATTGTAGAAATACAACAGGACTAGATGAATCACGCTTCAGTACAGATAAGCATCAGAAACCCAAAACACATTTACATTTGCTAGCAGTACAAAAGCTGTGCTGGAAATAGGGCTATAAGGACCATGCAACTGAGTCGCACCTTGCTGCTTCTTTCTTAGACACAGATTTGATTCAGTCCAGCTAATTCTGGGTAACTATGGAGTTGTCACACTTGGCTACCTCCACAGCAGCAGAATGAGGAAAATACCTCCTTCTGTTTTGGTTTTTAAACTCCAGTTTTAGATTCTAGAGGACTAAATCGTCCATATCATTCAAGGATGAACTCATACCTCTGCAGATCTAACGGCACACGTTTTGAAGGAAAGCATAAGCTCATCAAACAGGAGAACCAGGCTTTCCTAAATCAAGGACTAGCTGCTTGTGTCACGTCATTACAGCAGTCAGTTAAGCCCTTTATGTATTTGTATCCTGTTTAATGCATCTTTGAGTATTTTTGTAAGACAATCAAATCGCATTGAAATTATTTATACTTTGTGAATTCCAAAGGTTAACTATACAGTGGAATGCGAACAGACATAGCCAAATACACCCATGAATGTATGTATTTGATTTGCACAAATCAAGTCATCTTCTGCGTGTTCTTTAATTATAACTTTTCTGTTTCACTGGCTTTTTCCTCGTCTTCATCGGTACAGGGGGTGAAAAGGTGCCTTCCCCACACCAATGAGCTACATATTAACAAATTAAAGCTAAGAACTATTTCTAGGTATCTTTCAAATAATTTAAAATGAAGCAAAAATCAGGTAAAATTACAATCTGCTTTCAGACAATTCCAAACAGAAATTAAAGTGAAATTTGTTTAATAACTGATATGATTTATATAGCAGCAGTTGCACCTAAATACTCTGGTAACAGTCAAACAAGATGGAACATGAATACAGGAGACAGTTTTAGCTTGAAATTTGAAACCCTCATAATATGATCAAGTTAATGAAGAGAGCGTACTTACCCGACAAAAGGAAAATTGCGCATTTCTAGAACAGTATGGTATTTATATAAACTACTTACACCCTTATCCTGTAAATACTATGCATTTTGACTTCAGCGTGACTACATGTATGAGATTGTGGTATGAGGTAAGTATGTCCGCAAAGCAAGGCCCTACATTTACGAAAAAGCAAACACGTGCATGAATTTTCATCCGTGAAAATCACAGTGTGTCGCAAAGAATTCCTATTTACTATCTCTATTTTACAGCTGTCGGAAAGATTCAGCTTTTTGGGCTACAGCACTTTCTTCCACTGCTTGGTTACAGCCAGGAGGGCCCAGCGGTTCTGGGGTGCCTGCATTGCGTGCTCTACGTGTTAGGATGCATTATCATGTGTGACACATATGTTTCAAAACAGGGAGCTCAGAACCAATTGCTCCATTTGTTTGTGTCCCCTGCCCATGCTCCAGACAAACTCCAATACAAGTTCTGACTGCAACACCTGAATCCAAAAGGAAAAAGAAAGGGGGTAAAAAGTGGATATATAAGCAGGCAAGAATGATTCCCTTTTAGCAGCAGGGTTCAGAGGGTTTTAACGTGCCGTCCGCGCCCGCTGCTGGGGCACACGCGCACGTCTCCTGTGACCCAGCTGTGGTCACAGCGCTTTGCAGCCTCTCCTTCCCCCACCATTTTTTGTCTGGTTTAAGGAATCTCTCCTCCGCTGTGGATTAAGTTTTTCCTGACTCATAAGCTTGGAAAGAGCTCAGGGTTTTGTGTTTTCTGCAGTGTGGAGGTACTTGGGGAGAAGAGTACTTGCCAGCAGTGACATCTGAATTTGCCAGCAAAACAGTTACCCGCATCCGACTGAATCTGCAGAGAAGGTGCACAGAGCGATGTTGGTGGGAAGTTATTTCCATCAAAGTGTTAAGCCTCCTGCTTTCCGACAGTCCAGTTCTAATTTCAAGGTCTGCTTAATTCCACATCAAATAATTACTGCTATACCCAGAAGCACCTTGTCTCCAGAGTTAAGCATATGGCGAAGGACTGAGACCTACTGGTGTCCATTATGGAAGCAGCACGGATGCCAAGCCGATTAAAAATGCTCAGGCTCCCTTCACAACATGCCCAGTGACTGACAGCTTCGCGATTTGGCCAGTCACTGTGGCTGCCAAAAAAGCCTCTGCTGCACAGAGGCCCACATGGCACTCTGAGAAAACAGTTCCATTCCTGGTATTAAATTCCCATACTGACCCGAGGACTTTGCTGTGAGCTCAGCAGGAGCGCACCATCCAATTTACAGCTCCATCCTCCAGAGCCCTCGGTGCCAGCCTCTGGCAGAGACGAATGATGGTCAAACCCCTCCAGCTCATAAATTATGCAAAGGCAATAAATGCACTCAGCAAACAGCTCCTAACGTTTGCCTAGCCTGGCTCCAGATACGCTCTGTAAAATGCCAGGAGTCTTGCACATACAAGGCATCTATTTCACTCATAAAGAGGTTTTGTTGGTGGGGTGCGAGGGAAGGAGACCCACCGTCCAGCAGCGCTGTCCTGTTCCAACAGCAGAATTTTACGGACAAGCAGTAGGAAAGAAGAAAAGGAGGGAACAGGAGGAAAGGGCTTCATGCACTGCATTGGGGTGATACGCACGTTCAGTGGGTATACACGTGTGTTTGTGTGCGGGCATACACATTACACGTGCAGGTTTTGCATAGCCACTGTAAACTAATTTTCCCTGAGGGTTAAATACGTGGATTTCCTTTGGTTCATGGAAAGAATCAGACAATTTATGTGCAGGGGTAACTCCAAAAAGACTTGCAGAAGAGGGGACGAGGTTTGCTGCTCAGGCTGGAAACTGCATTGGAGCAACTGTACGCTCTTCCTATGCCTGCGTCTGCTTTGCTGTTTAGGCACTCCAGGTATTGCACTTGCACACACATTCCCCAGTGGCCCTTGCTCTGCTGTGCTCATTTACATTTTTGGATGCATTTTCTTCCCAGAGGTGCTAAAGCACAAGGCGTTTCTATCTTCTGCAGGCTTACTGCTAACCAATTCTGGAGAACAGGTCTTGGAAACCAAAGCTGACAACCGTGAAGTTGATTATCCAGAATTACTGGTCAATTTGAAGACTTGAGTCTGTATTGCTTGCTCAATTACTCTAGCATTTCTCTACCTCCGATGGCCATAGAAAAAAAGTAAAATCATTTAAGTGCTTTGTGATTCTCAGAGCACCAGACTGTTTTGGAACTGAAGTGATGCAAATGCTTTGTACTGGCCTTCTGCTTTGGGCCGAGTTTCAGTATTTTGTGCCTATTACAAAAAGATAATTTTTCTGTGTTCTCCCATGTCTTGTTTCAGGAAATCATGGCTCTGAGCATACGCTGCATCACGATATTCTGTAGATAACTGGGAATCCATAATATCATTCAGAGGTAGCATGACCTGATTTTTGGATAACTGCCACTAGCTTCACTGGAAGCTGCGGGTGATAATGTGACAAATCAGGACAAGGAGGCTGCAGACCCATTTTACACCTGAACAAACAGAGGCTTCTTTCTCTGATTCTCAGGCTCAAGGCACTTACTATCTCCACGCTGTCACCCAGGGCCAGGCTTGAGAAGAGTCCAGAGCCAAATTTCCAAAAGCTGGCCTACATTATCAAAAACCCACCCAACCAACCAGCCCTTAGCTCTCATTTAGGCACTGAAATGAAAGCTGGATTAGCAAAACTGCTGAGCACCCACAGCTCCCACGTACGGCCAAATTTTCAAACGAGCGTGGCACAAAATGCTGTGAGGTCTTTTCGAACCACAGCCTGACAGGCTCCTCAGAGGAAGGAGCCTTTGAAATGGCTATTTTACGCTTTTGAAAGTCTTGTACTGGGCAGAAGAGACTCTAACGGTTTTCCCAAAGGACCTACAGCACTCCAAACCAAATCCAAAGCAAGGGCTGTATAAAGCTCGCTCAAAACTAGCTCCACAGATAAAATTCTTAGGGGACATATAGAAACATTAAGGTTACCCCTAATTTCTATATAATCAGGGGCAATAATGAGACCAGACCAACAATGACTTGCTCAAACTGGCCGTAGTTATCATTTAAACTGTTCAAACACCCTTAATAACGAAAGCACGCAGGCTACCAGCCACCACGTTACTTGACACACACGTGCCAAGTGTCCAAGCTTCATTTGGCAGTATTTCTGCAACTTCATGCTCAAAGCACTAATCAGAACCAGTAACCCACAAGCTTGCATTTTCATACGTGTGCTGCAGTCAAA